CAGCCAAATCCAAAGAAGATTGAGGACTGGGATCGGATCGATCGGAAAGCAAAGGGTTTGATCCGGCTTTGTCTCGAAGATTCCATTCTGACGAACATGATGAACGAACCTACAGCCAGAGATTTATGGCAGAAACTAGAGTCGTTGTACCAAAGTAAGTCACTGGTAAATAAGTTGTTCTTAAGGAAGAAACTATATAATCTTCGGATGCATGGGGGCGATTTGTTTTCTGCACATCTGTATAACTTTAACACGTTGATAAGTCAACTCGTATCAATCGGTGTTAAGTTTCAGAATGATGATAAGGCGATAACACTACTCTGTTCATTGCCGGATTCATGGGATAACCTAATTGTGGTAATCGGTGGTGGGGACAAGGAATTGTTGTATGATAATGTGTGTTCAGCCTTGTTATCAGAGGAGACACGAAGAAAGGGGTCAGGGAATTCTAGTAAAGAGGCGCTGGCTGCTAGGGGTAGGCCAGCAGAGAAGGCTTTAAATCGGAAAGGGTCCAGATCCAAATCTCATGGGTGATTGAAGAGTAAGGAGAGGAGGGTATAGTGCTGGAGATGTCAAGAGTGGGGCCATGTGAAGCGAGATTGTAAAAACAAGCCCGTTTCTAAGAAAGAAGCTAAATCATCCTCAGGAAAGAAGGAGGACAAGATAGGAGATATGTATGTGGCTGCTGCATGTATGGCGTAGTCAGACAAGGATATTTGGTTCGTCGACACCGGTGCTTCATACCACATGACGCCTCATAGACACTGGTTTTATGAATATGAGAAATATGATGGTGGAGATGTCGTGCTCGGAGATGATACTGCAGTTCAGATTGTCGGGCGTGGCAGGGTGAAGCTGAGGATGAGTAATGGCATAGTGAAGACTCTTCCAGACGTAATGCATATACCCTCGATGAGTAGAAACTTGTTATCAGTCGGTACGATGGCCGATTCAGGGGTTACTTTCAGCTGTGATAAAAATTCGTGCAAAATGACTTGGGGTTCTATTGTGATTGCACGAGGAGTTCGTTATGGAACGTTGTACAAGCTGCTCGGGGAAACGGTGATTGTTGGCGGCGGGTTCGTCTTTGAAAAGGCAAAGGAAGATGGATATGACACGTCCATGTTGTGGGATCAGAGGCTAGGGCATATTGGTGAAAAGAGCTTGTCTACCTTAGCTTCGAGTCAAATGGTAGAGGGAGTACCAGATTGCTCTATGGGTTTCGGGTTCTGTGAACACTGTCTTCATGAAAAAGAGAACCGAGTTAGTTTCCAACACACCGGCACGAGAGCAACAGAGATTCTAGAGCTGATTCACAGTGATGTTTTCGGGCCTACTTCGACTCCATTTATTGGAGGATCCAGGTACTATGTATCGTTCATAGATGATTTTTCGAGATATAGTTGGATTTATTTTATTAAAAGTAAATCAGATGTATTCGAAAAATTTCGAGAATTTAAGGCTTTGGTTGAAAACCAATTGGGCAAGAAAATCAAGATACTTCGTACAGATAACGGAGGTGAATTATGTTCGGACAAGTTTGAGCAGTTTTGTGTGGATAATGGTATCGCGAGGCAGAAAACGACCCCATATACGCCTCAATAGAATGGGGTGGCCGAAAGATTAAATCGGTCACTCATAGAAAAGGCAAGATGCATGTTGAGTTGGGCAGGTCTGGATCCTGAATTTTGGGCAGAAGCTGTAGCCACGGCCAGTTATTTGAAGAACCGGTCACCGACCTCATCAGTGAAGGACCGTACACCATACGAGGCAGCGTTTGGGAAGAAGCCGAATCTATCACATGTTCGGATGTTTGGGTGTGACGCGTTTGTTCATGTACCCAAGGAGAAAAGGGGTAAGCTTGACAATAAGTCTGAGAAGAACATATTCGTTGGATACAAGGAAGGGGTCAAGGGCTATAAGCTGTGGAATCCAAAATCAAAGATCATCGTATACAGCAGGGATGTTGTCTTTCGTGAAACACAATCCCAGGCAGGTATACAAAAAAGTGATGAGCCCAAGAAAGTGGTAATGCTTGAAGAAAGTCCTAAGACTGAAACTGTAGAGATGGCTCCACAAGATATACGAGCAGAGTCTAATTCTGATCCGGAACAAGGGGACTTGGTTAATGAAGTCGAGGATGCAGATTCGGATGAAGACCTGGACACCAATAGCATGCCGGCTCTCGGGAGATCAACACGGGAAAGGCAGAAACCACTTCGGTACTCACTTAGTGCATTGAGTACGTTTCATGCCTTAAGCATTACCGGAGATGATCCTAGTTCTGTAAAAGAGGCGAGATCCATGGATGACGTGAATCAGTGGGAGCTCGCAATGATAGATGAGATGCAGTCGTTTGATCAAAACGAGACATGGAGCATATGTAAATTGCCCAAGGATAGAAAGGCAATTGGGTGCAAATGGGTGTTCAAGCGAAAGCTGAAACCGGATGGGACTGTGGAGAAGTACAAGGCAAGGCTCGTGCCCAAGGGGTATTCTCAGATCGAGGGAATTCACTATGACAAGGTTTTCTCTCCTATGGCGAAATTGACCTCGACACGGTTTGTTCTGTCCGTAGCAGCTGCATACGATCTTGAGGTGGAACAGATGGATGTAAAAACAGCTTTCCTTCATGGGAATTTGGAGGAGGAGATTTATATGAGGCAACCAGAAGGCTTTGAAGCAAAAGGAAAGGAGAATCAGGTATGCAAACTGAAAAAGTCTCTCTTCGGGCTAAAACAGTCACCGAGGATGTGGTACCAGAAGTTTGACACGTACATGCTCCAGCTTGATTTTGTGCGTTCAAATTCTGACCACTGCGTTTATGTGAAGAGGGCGGGTGATCAGTTTGTCATTCTCACGCTATACGTGGATGATATGCTTTTAATCAGGAATAGCGTGAAGATGGTGAAATCCGTGAAAATTTTGTTGGCTAGGAAGTTCGATATGAAAGATTTGGGGCCTGTAAATTTTATTTTGGGTATGCAGATTACGAGGGACAGCGGGAAACGGAAGCTATGGCTAGGGCAAGAGAAATACATCAAAGAAATGTTGAAGAAATTCAACATGACGGACTGCAAGCTTGTTGGTACCCCCATACCTTTAGGGACCAAATTATCTGCGGAACAGTGCCCTAAAACGGATGAGGAGACTGAAGAGATGGCCCGAGTTCTGTACGCAAGTGCAGTGGGTAGCTTGATGTACGTTATGGTGTGCACGCGTCCGGATATAGCCCAAGCAGTGGGAGTCTTGAGCCGATATATGTCCAACCCGGGTAGAGAACATTGGAATGCAATAAAAAGGGTTTTCAGGTATCTTCGTGGAACTTGGAATTTTTCTTTATGTTTTGAAGGTACAAGGAATGGAAATATCCTCGATATCGTAGGCCATGTAGATGCAGATTGGGGTGGAGATATTGATAGTAGACGATCTACTAGCGGGTATGTTTTCACATTATTTGAGGCTGCGGTGAGTTGGATGAGTAGGAGGCAAAGCGTGGTAGCGCTCTCTTCTACAGAGGCTGAGTACATGGCTCTTACTCATGCCGGAAAAGAGGCCATATGGTTACGACGGTTGTGCTTGGAGCTTGGTTTTGAGCAAGGTGCCGTGGAGGTGAGATGCGACAATCAAGGGTCTATTTATTTAGCTAAGAATCTAGCGTTTCACTCACGTACAAAGCACATCGACATTCAATATCACTTTATTCGAGAGAAGGTGGAGAAGAAAGTGGTTCAGCTTGAAAAGATCGACACTGTGAAAAATAGTTCAGACTTCCTTACTAAAGCCGTCACGGTTGCGAAGTTTGAATGGTGCTCTGCTGCGATTGGATTGAAGAGGAGTGATGTTGGAAAGGCTCTCATTTGCGCGAAGTATCCACCAAGTGGGAGAATGTTGGAGTTGGTGAATACTTCGGGGACCCTTATTTCTCATACTGGGCATGCTCATATGAGCTTAGGGAAACCGAAGTATGATCCGACGACATGTGACTCATGTCCACGGAATGCGGGAGTTCGAGGGCAGCGCCCTCGACACGGGGGTCCCGCTGAACGGGCAGCAGGCGGGGGTTCTGCTCCCCGGTGAGCGGACGGCGGCCCCGCTTGTTGTGGAATTAAAGGGATTTGGATAGGCTTGGGCTTTGGGCCCATTTTAAGTCTTATATATATTGTACTCGTATGAAAAATCATTGAAACGAGTGGCTGTGGTTGTAAACCTAAATCATAGTGGAATCCTTTTACAGGACGTAACCCTATTTTGGGGCGAACCTGGGTAAACTCGTGCATCATTTAATTTTCTTCTATTCTCTACGTGATCGTTCTGATTCGGTTTGCGATACACCTCCATCACAACTCTCTCTTCCGTGGACTTTGCTGCTTTCTAGCTAAATTCTAGCAGTTGATGTTTATCTTAATGCTATGATGTCGTGATGCGGAGCACATCACGATTGAATTTACATAATTTATTTGGTAGAGCTAGGATTTTGATATTTTCTGCTTTAATTAAGTTAATGTATGATATTTATTTAGTATAAGAATGCCTGAATTTATTGTTTCCATCATTTTACTATGTTTAAATTTGTCAAGATATCTTATCTTTGATTGGGAAATACCGTAGGATATAGCGTTAGCTAAGATTTTGTTATGTTTATGTTGACACCTATTTTTTATTGCCCAAAATTAATTATACAAAAATTTAGGGGTTAATGTCCTTAATTCCTAAAATAAAAATATTTTCTATTAAATTGCATGACATATAGATAATAGGTACATTTGCAATATTAGGGTTTATTAGAACATTTTTTTTCTTTCTTTCTTAAAAAAAAAAATGGAGCGGAACCGGGCCGGGTCGACCCGGCCCCCTATTCCTTCCCCTGGTTGGGCTTGGCCCAACTCCCTTTTTTTCCATCTCTTTTTCTTTTCCCGCCCAGCCCTTCCTCCTTTCTTCTTTGCCCGACCCAGCTTCTCTCTCCCCCTTTCCTCTCTCCTTTGCGGTGGACGCAGAACAGCCGAGCATTGGCCGCCGCCCAGAAGAGCGGATAACCCGCTCCACTGCGCAAAAATGGCCACCAAAGTCAAGGAAAGAGGGCAGCCCGGTGCAGAGCAGTTAATGGAGAGGATAGGAGGGTAGAGGGCAAGTGACCGTCGACCATAAAAAGCCGGCGAAGAGGAGAGAGAAAAGGGAGTTCGGTTCTGGGGAGACCGAGAGAGATGTAGAGAGAGTACCAGAGAGAGATTGAGCGAGACAGAGGGCCAGAGAGTTTTTCCGGCGACTGCCGTGCTCGTATCGCGGTCGGCAACTCGTGGTTGTCGCCCCTCCGCCGTCGCCAAATCTCGGTAGGTTCCCGTTCGCTAGTTTTCATTTTGATTGGTTTGGGGATCGTTTTTTCCCAAGGATCCCGGTTTGACGGCCTCAAGGCGGCCGGCCATGGCCCCACTCGTCTCGGGCTTGCCTCCAAGTCGCCGTCGCCAAGCCGGGTAGGGACAGCTCGCGGTCGACGCCCCTGTTTCTCTCCCGCAGCCGGTGTCCCCTGTTCTGTCGGGCCCCTGTTTGCTCTGTTTTGGGCGTCTCGGACAAGAGCACGCGATTGTTCCGTTCGCACAAATTCCGGCCCGCGTCGCCTTCACGCCTCCCCCGCGACCTCATACGTCGTGTGTCGAAAGTTCTGGCTCGGAGCCGAGCCTCCGTGGAGCCGAGAATGCTTCGTTTTTGAAGCGCCCGCCATGTGTTTGTTGAAATACCTAAGTGAGATCCGTAAGCAGGTTCTCTGAGTTTGGGTTGTTGCTGGATTTTTGTTCGTTTGTTTTGCTTGTTCTTTGCTCGTGCCTCGTCAGGTTTCGTGGAGGGGCGACGCTCATGAAGGCCCGAGGCCGACTTGGCCGAACGTGACTCCTCCACTTGTTCGCAGCCGCGTAGGCCGACGCTACTGTAACGTAATGCTTGACCAGAGGATGGGTCGATTTTGCCGCGGTTTGAAGTAAAAGTCGAGTCTGTCATTAGCCGTTTCGAGAGGCACACGGCCGCCGGAGCTCGGGCATGGACGGGCCGACGCCGCTCGTCTCGGCCAATCCTGTCGTGGTTGCACAGGAGACCGTCACGGTGGCGTTGAGGTTGACTTTGTCGGGTCTGTCGAGTGGGAGGATCGGAGCCCGGATCGGGTGAAGGAGCCAGACCGATTTCCAGTTGTTTCTCTGTGCTATTCTAGGAAATAGAAAAGTGGGCTGGGCTTTAGTTCATAGAAAATAAGCTTTGGGCTTGTATTCGTCTTAATTCGTTTTTGGTTTTGCTAGAATGGGCTCATTCTCAAGGCCCAGTCTCGCGTGGACTCGGGTCGGTCCCGATCCGGATCCGCCGACCCGACCTGGATATTATATTAATGTTAAATTATTTTTGATAAAAAAATTATTTTAAAAAGAATAAAAGAATAAAAAATTTCGTTTTTTTAATTTCTTTTAAAATTAGAAAATAGTACAGAAACTAGTACTTTTAAATATTCTTCTAAATCGATTAATAATCATGTCTAAATAGATTAATAATCATGTCTAAATCGGATAAGCCTATAGGGTTATACGGTAGGATTTTGCATGTTATTTTTACTACTATTATATTATCATTATGCAAGTTATTTCTAATTAGCATATAATTGCATAAATTGCCAAGTATTGAATGTTGTATCCTTACTTAGGTTTAGAATCCTAGGCTGCATATTTATCTTGATTGCTAATATTTAATGATTGTGCACTCGCTTGTTCACCTCACATATTAGAAGATATGTCGTAAAATCAATCCAAACTACCTGATAAATATTTTTCTGAAATTAAAAAGAATCAAAGGTACTGAAAGAGAACTAGTTACTCAACTAGTGTAACCAAGTCTCCGAACTCATTTAATTTCTAGTTCGCAAAAGTAAGGCAACTCTAATTAGTAGCAACTCCTAGATAAAAATCACTTACAGGTTAAAAATCTAAATCACAAATCACGATATGATATGGGCTTGGGAACGATCGAGCTAAGTTTCAGACCTAGACTTAGCGTATCCAGTGTAGACGCCTTCCTTCTTCCGAAGGCGAGTCGCGACAGTTTAGTAAATGATTCATTGGAGTAGAGGTTTACACGTATGAATATGCGCTTTGCTTTCATGTAACTAAGTTTTGCCTCTTTTCAGAAACACCAGAAAAATCGAGAGACTTCTTTCCGTGCACTTTGTGCGTGTACGCTTCGAGCATCTGTTTTGCGAGTTACAACTCGTGACTACCCGTTTTCGCTACGTCCTCTCGTCTGTTGCACACTTAAAATGTTAAGTACGATGAGGAATCTCGTAAAGGAAATAAGGGAAAAGCCATAACGCCAACAAAATTCATAGCTAAGGACTTTCTTTCATATAAGTAGTAATCATGCATATGCATAAACAATACCACATTATGCTAGGCACGAAATTGATATCTAATGGAGCAAACATTAGAATACAACGAAACAATAAGTTCCACAAAAGAATTCGACATACCTATTCTGTTAGGGAGAAGTGTCAGAAAGGTCCTAAACCTATTGCATTAGTGCCAATTTAGTCATAAACCTTTATTTGGTGCAAATTCAGTCTTAAACCTTTTGTCTTTATTCCAATTCAATCATTGTAGCTAATTTTGGCAGGATATTGCTGACGTGGACGTCGGTCGGCCTACGTAGCACCGCGAGCAATGACATTGACAACTTTTAATAATATTTTAATATTTTTCCGAATTATTTTTTTTTAAATTCTATTATTTTTCTTTTTTTCTTTTTTCCCTTTCTTTTTCCTCTAGCCGATCGCCGGACCGACAACCGGCTGGAGGCCAGGGCCGGCAAGGTCCCTCACCCTTGCTAGTGGCCACGAGGTTGTGCCTCACCCAGTCGCTGGTGAGGCTTTCGTGTCCGCTAGCGTGGGCTCAAGCCTAGTCGGATCGCCACGAGGGTGGCCTCGCGCTGGGCTGGTGAGGGCCACTGGCGTGGGCTCAAGCCTAGCTGGATGGCTGCGAGGGCGGCCTCGCGCTGGGCTGGTGAGGGTCGAGACTCGTCGACCATGGGTGAGGCTCGAACTCACCAGATCCGGTGCTCGCCTTCGCCGACCTTGGCCTCCAGCCGGTCGCCGGTTCGGCGACTGGCTAGAGGAAGAAGAAACGGAAAGAAAAAAAAAGAAAGAAAAGAAAATTTTTAAAACTAAATAAAAAATTAGAAAATTATTATAATATTTTTAAAAGTTATCCACGTCATCGTCGGCGGTGCCACGTAGGCTGGTAGGTGTTCACGTCAGCAATATCCGGCCAAAATTAGTTGGAAGGATTGAATTGGCACAAGACAAAAGGTTTATGATTGAATTGGCATAAAAAAAGGTTTAATACTAAATTGTCATTAATGCAATATATTTATGACTTTTTTGACACTTTTCCCTATTCTTTTAAGGAGATAATACATGTCTATTTAAGTGCCAATGTTGAATGCAATGCAAATTCTGATTTTGAATTAATTCCAATTTGGACCATTCACGTTTATGAGGATTGATGGCTCATTTTTCTTGCTATTTCTCATGTTTTTTCTTCTTTTATTAGTTCAATGGAACAGCAAGTTCAATTGAAAATTTAAACGTCGGCACTCTCGAGTAATTAATTCATGTCATTTGATTTCCAAAGTGTGTTCAATTTTTGACATATTACGAATATTGAAACAACAATCTACGTTATTATAGAAAGATTAGTTCAACTGTAAAATTTTAGTTTTGTTCATCTAGGATATATAACTAGAAGTACAAAAAATATATTTAAAAACTAAAATTTTATTTTGGGCCGAGCTATATTGGGCTACACTTATTAAGGCCCAAAAAGCCCAACCCATGCCTGAAATATAAAATAGTATAAAGCCGAAAAATCATTCCAGGAAAATTTGAGCATGGGCATGGCCTAGCCCATTAATGGACGAGGCTAGTACGAAGAAGGAAATCATGGTTTCAATTAGGGGTGATCGGTTCTCGGTCTGATCCGATTCTAAGGTGGAACCAGGAATCGGGGACCGGACCGGTTGATCCTAGGACTGGGAACCGGTCACATTGGGTTTAATTCACATTTTACTAATTTTTTTGAATGAAGTTCACTTATGGTTTAGTTCACATTTTACTAATTTTTTAAAGAAATAAAAAAAAATATTGGTAGTCGTTCCAGTTTAGTCGGTCCGATTTTCCCTTGGAACCGAGAACCGGACCACTTTTAGGAACTGATAACCGGATTGACACTCCTGGGAATCGGACCCAACCGACAGGTTCGATCTAGTCTGGGCAGTTCCCGGTGTGGGCGGTCCGTTTTGCACACTCTTAATTTCAATTCTTCCCACTCGTTTTATGTCGTTAGATTTCCCCCCCTTTTTTTTTACGAATAATATAAGGGTGAAAGGTCTGCCTGAAGTAGCCAGAGCGACTCCATACATTGCCAAAGAATGTTCCACTACGAGTCTACTGAGTGCGATATCGTATATCACCAAATTACTGTGCACTAGAGTCGCATACTGATCATTGGAGATGTTCTCCTAAAACGGATCAGCCCGTCACTATTATCCCACCAAAAATGTTAATTAGATATAAGCTCCTTAAGAGTAATTTGGTTTAGAGTTCAATTTTCGGACTCAAACGATTTGAATATCTGACCGCCCGATGAAAAACCGTTTCAGAGTTGGTCCTCATCCAAAAGATGCTCGCCAAAAATATGAGATTTCTTCCTATCCTATGGTTCAGACATGCAAAATGTTACCACTCTAAATATCCCCATAACTTCATGTGTTTTTCATACTTTCTTTAGAAAAAGTGATTCGAGATTTCCATTGATAATAGGTCTAACGAAAATGTGGTGAGAGGACAAGCTTTTCCTTTAAATCGAAAGAAGGGTTTACTAATATCTATATCGATATTGGCCATAGCATTGCTGTTTGCATAACTCGATTCCATGGTATAAAAACTGAGTACTAAATGACTATCATAGAAAATGGGAAAGGGAAGCCACATTGAGATGGTACCCCTATATTGGATGAACTTTTCATTTGTGGTGCGTTAAAATGGTCGAAATTAAATTTGACCCCATAATGTTTTTAGGTTTTTGACCCTGTAGGTCTCCATCAATTTGACAAACATATTTCTCACAAAATTTATTGATAAAAATTGAGTAAAAGCAGTCATTGCACGTAATTTTTCATCCACAGATTCCATATCGCTTTCCCATCACCATCTCCCTCCCCCACCACCGAAACCCCCAAAAAGAAGAACTTTCCTCTGTCCTCTTTCTTTTCGTCATTCTTCAGCAGTACAAATCTGAAAAATTTTCTAATGAGGACAAAATTTGGTCAAAATTTTTTTGAGTAATTGATGTAATATTATATGACTAAAGTGATGATCAAAATCGATATTAATGTGGGTTTTGTTTGTCTATAACAACCACATTCTCATGATTCTAAAATTGTTTATTAAGTTTTTTTTGCACCTTGTGGGGGCAAAATGAAATGAAAACAGTTACTACATACTTAGTTGTATATCTCTAAGAAATTTGATGGGGACAAAAGTTAATTTTTAGGTCAAAATAGTTTAACATAATTTTAAAATCTCTAAATATATGGAATTTTAAAATTTCAAGTTGCTCCTTGGAGCAAGAGGCCCCGGAGCTCTACATGTGGTTCCGTCAACATGATGAATGTGTTTGCCATTATACTCACAGTTTTTTTTTATGAAAGCCTTTTTCTTTATAGTATGACAAGATTATTTCAAGTTGCTTAAGCCTTATACAAAAAGGGGTTTGCTTATGCCCATTATGATCTAAACACATCTCTACTTATATTCAAGGTGCTTATGATATATCACTTTTTCCATTGTGACATTCTGCAAAAGAATTTTTGCAAAAAAAAAAAATGTAAAACCGTTATTGTTTATCCAAGTTCCTTCGTCCCGAATTTGTTCATGATGTTATTATATGCATCTGGTAGAGTTTTCAAATAATAAATCAGGCTTATTATCTAATAGCTTAAATATTTAAATAAAATAGGAGCGAGTTAGTGTTGGAAGCGCGCAGCAAAATCCTCATACCTTTACGCGGGGAGATCACCAAGAGGAAGCCCAAGTCCCAAGCCCGTTAACATGACCAGTTGAACCCACTTTCACTTAAAAGGTTAAGCCAATGTTTTATGGCTAACTGTGATACATTAACTGCTCAACACCATATACCAATTATTCGATGTGAAACTATTCTAACACAACTGACACATGTATCTCAACAGTTAGGCCGAGGTATCTCTTGTCAAGTCCACCTTCCCAAAATTTTCCATCGTGGCACAAAACAGAGGACAAAGATCATTTTGCCACCTAGTACAGACCGCCAATTGTGGTGTCATTTTGTGTAATGGTCTTGAGTCAAGGAAAAAGTCGTCGTCTCCATTCTCTCTAATGTCACCGTGAGGATCTTTGCTTTGAACGCGTAGATGTGGTGGTAGGTTGAGTTCTGTCTCGATGCAGGTGTGTAAGCATAATAATCAAACTTGGAAAATGGACAGTCGCTGTTTTAACTTTTCTTTAGTTAGGTCTAAGCGTATCTTGGTCCTGTCTTTTCCCGGTGGACGACGAAGCGTGCTTCTCGCGCTCTCTCTAGGGCCATTTGGAATTGTAGGACATTTCCAAGGTCTGCCCATTGACGAACGAAATTCATATCCACGACATTATTGTCATAATCAATCTGTATTTTATACTTCGATTCGGTATACACCACACCCGGAATTTGCAATCTCTTGAATTACAAAGCAGATCTATTATTCGTAATTAGTTCTAATATATAATCTATCAAGTAATGTGACTTTTGTCGCATTTGATGATGCATGTTTTATATGATAATTGTAGAATAATTACCCGAGTTTCGTACTTTATAATGCAATTTAGATGAAATGCCGTGCAAATATTTGTAATTTATGCCTAAATGTAATTCTCGTGCTAATAAAACAATGAGTAACAACCAAGCGATATGCATTGTCCTTGAAATTCTAAATTTGTCTCATCAGTCATGGATCTCACTCTGAATTTTTTATATTGTGATAATTTCTAAATTTTCGTATGACCCAAAGTACTCATTTTAGTTATGCGCTTCGCACATTTTAAGATTCGACTCTTTATCCATGATTCACGATTTTAAGATTTTAATTCATACATATCATAATTTAACAATTACATTATGGGACTTACCTAAAAAAATTTCTTGTCTAATTACTTAAATAAGTGCCTGCGATATTACTTATCAATGAAATTATTGCTTATATATTGAAAATTTCACTACTTGTCGCAATGAACGATGAAGATTTTGAGCTGAGAGAGAAATTTAGGAGACGGCAAGGTGGACTCCAACTCCAACTCCAAACCATGAAACACAAAAACTTCTCCTCCTCCTCCTGTGAGCTCTCTCTCTCTCTCTCTCTCTCTCTCTCTCTCTCTCTCTCTCTCTCTCTCTCTCTCTCTCTCTCAAATCTTAAGTATACTTTGTCTATGTAATTGCGTGTAAAAAAGTTAGGCTTTTGATTTGTGCACCATGAGTTATATGCTTTTGATCATCAAGACCACTCCTTATTCAGGCAAAAATAAGTTGAGATGATGATAGATGAAATCGTGGCTTTAACAACATTTGAATACTCTATAGTTAGGCATGCTTAATGATAGACGACGCAGTGGAGGGATCGAGCTATATTGAGACCATCTTGGCCCAAAAAAGAAACTATAATTAGGCATGCTTAATGATAGACGACACAGCAGAGGGATCGAGCTATATGTGAGACCATCTTGGCCCAAAATAAATTATGTATAATTAAACCTTTAATTGGTTGTATATCTAGATGATACAGAAGATGAGAAAATATTAATGTATGTCGATGAACTCATGAGACACGATCAAAGAAAGATGACAAAAAACATACCGTGAGAGCCAGCAAAGAAGGAAAGCAGTGTGTTCCTCGGAGGTAATCTCCCCTTGTAATTTGGCAAACTTGTCGATTAAAGCTTCATAAGGAAGGTCCAAACAAGATGGGTTGCGGAAGTATGGGCAGGTGTGTAAATTAGATTCGTCAACTTCTATAAACGGGGGAAGACCCATTAGACTCCATAGGTACGGTCCATAATAGCGAAGATTCACAGACCTTAAGCGATCAGGGCAACGTGTCGAAGTATTATAGGGAACTATGAGCTGGCTAACTGCGCACAGAGTATAAGTGGCAGACGGACGATCCCTATACCCCCTATGAGAAAAGAAAGCGTCCGATCAAGGTATTATTTTAAAAGAATCGAAATTTCTTTTAATTCTTTTAAAAAGGGGATATATATTGACACTTAAAATATCGTTTGTCTGGCACAAACACGTGAACAGCACATGAGACGAGTATGGATAGTCATGTGCATAGCACATGAGTATTAATACAAATGTGCCAGCTTATCGACAAGTGTAGGGATCAACATATGTCGACTTATAGTGGTATTCATTGATGCCACGTGTCCAATTATCAAAATACGGCGACAGATAACTAGTAGTTGCTAATATGAATATTGGCAATGAATATTTATTAAAAGAGTATTAATAAGTTGCTTTGAAATTTGAGATCGATGAAGCAGTTGAGATCGAATACACACAATTCTAGGAGGGAACGATTACCGCTTGAAGACCAGGTCGTTCGATCAAAGGCACACATTTTTTGAGGGAACGGTTACCGCCTAAAAAACCAAGTTGTTCGACGAATTGGTTGAGATCAAAGGCACAAATTTTTGGAGGAAGTAGCTGCCGCTTGAAAGCATGATCGTGAGACACACATTGTTGTAAGAAACCACATCATGGAGCAATTTGTGCATGTAAGATTTAGAAATGTGGAGGTAACTGGCAAAAGTTGCTGAGGAAATTACAACCGCCGAAAATAGTCGGAAGGCAGTTACCATAAGCCATTATGAATACCACAGTTGTCCATTTGAAAAGCCCCTTGCACAAATCAAACTAAATGTTATCTTTCAATTATTTTTTCTGCATTGCACTTTAAATTTCCTTAGCTGTAGCTTTTAGATTCGCGTCGCCTATTAAATTCCTCCGTGTATCTTTATCTTGGTGATGCGTCGTCGATTAAATTACGGTGTAGTATCTTTTTGTTCCCAAGCTGTGTCGTCGATTAGATTCTGACATAGTTCGCCTATATCCTGTTATGTCATCGAGTCTGTAATTTTCGAGCCTTGTCGTCGATTAAATTTTGGCTTGGTTTGGGATTGTGCAGTGCTATTTGAATTGGAGAGGTTGATTCCCTTTCGCATGAGATATTCTCTGTCCGGAGTTAGCGCAGGACCTTTATCTCTTCATATAAAAAGCTAAAGAACTACTTTTGGTGAAAGATATTTCATCGTAGGAGAAATTCCGGCGAAACAGTTATATTGTCAGTACTTCTCCAATCAAAGAAAAGACTAATTCCAATTTCGTTTTTTTTCGAAAATTGCATTTGCCATGCACCATAAAAGGGCGTGTCAATAATGGTATGATAAATGATTGAAGGAAAACTATTAGGTATTTTTTTATTCCGGCAAACTATTAGGTACTTCATGAGTCCAAACATATATGGATCTTATTAACAAGTGATTCAGTGTATTAATTAAGAATATCTCTAGGGTTTTGAGGATATGTACACAATGAACTCTTACTAGGATAATCAACATTATTCTCGTCAAATTGTTGCCAGGTGAAGAAAGATCCGAGCATGGATGCCTTGCTCTCGGACATATGCATTTCGACCTTGGCCGCACCAACTTATCTCCTGGCCCATCGATTTGAAACCAAGGACTCCAATCAGTGAAATCATTTAACCAATGGGTTATATATTATTTGTAAAGCATTACTTATACATATTAAAAGTATAGTCAGTGACATTAGATATTGTTATATATTCTTATTTGATGGTTTAACAAGTAGCAGAAGGTACTTTTTAATATATATATATTCCACCATCAACGCTGCTGCTCTAAATAAGATTAGTTCCGTGTGCTTCGAAGTTGGGAACTAATAAATTTGAAGAGGAATTAGTATTTATAAGTTTCTCCTCTTTTCCTTTGGCCAAGGCCTTTCAAATATGCCAAAGTGGATATTTATCAGGAAATGGAGACAAACTAATCCAAAATAAAATTCAATGCCTCTTCTCTTGATAACCCTCTCATCTTTAAGGTTTACGGAAAATTGAGAACATGGCTCGCAATTTGATTGGGTCTGACCATTTCTCATCTCTTGAAATTTCCATAGCAAACCATTTCAAAGCCGCCTTCATCAATTGATCTCCGATGGTTTCCCAATTTCAAAGCCGCCTTCGTTGAAACGACTGCAGATTCGTCGCCATTTGTGAACCTTCGATTAAATCAAAACTATAGGTACAATTGTCTTACCATGTGGTCCAAATGAGCAATGCACCAATCATTGTGCATGCAACGTCCACTTAACCTTGTGAAGACGACAAAGCTAACCCCGACAGCAAGTTTGTTTGGATAGTGTAAAAAAATTAATCTAAATTGAGCCCTTGTTATATGACACATAGCTGGTCGATCGCTAGTCACTATCATGGCTAAGTACAAGTTCACTCTACTATACGGCTTTCAAGCTGTGTTCAAACCTACGAGTCTCTTAAAAGTCTCACCAGAAATTCTCCGCCGGCGTTGGTGACTGAAGACTGCTTAAAGAAAGACCGAATTCCGACCCTCGCCGAAAGCCATTAAATTACAATATTGACGAAGCCTTTTCCAATTTGGACTTTTCGATATGATCTCCGTACACGAAGAATCTAGGGTCCAACCTAAACGATTCCAAGCAACTTCGAACGATTCGGGGCAAATTTGAATCGTAGGGTTCGTGAAACACAGTGAAAATGTGAGGGAATTAGAGATCATAAATACGCATGGCTCATGCATTGTAAAGCCATCACACAAGCTAGCTCTTTCTCCAAACTCGATACACTTGTTCAAAAAAATTCCTCTTTTCGCTCTCTCTAACAACTCTCAAAGGCACCAAGAGCACATACTTGTTACTACTTTCGTTTCGTTTCGTTTCGTTTAACTCGATATGCAAATGGAAAGAACCACAATTGTACCCCTACAGCCTCCGACTTATGGAAATTTGATCACCATTTTAAGCATTGACGGTGGCCGGATAAGAGGGATTATCCCCGGAACCATTCTTAATTTTCTAGAGTCTGAGCTTCAGGTAAGCATGCTTGTTACGATTTTTGTCATATCCGCTATCAAAATATTTCGCTGATCTTGTCAGCAAATTAGCATGCTTCATAATCTTTACCAATCTATGCATAGCGATTTTGTTAACAAGAAAAGTCTTATCAATTATAGTGAACAAAACAACATTCATTGGATTCATATGCACATGGACCATTTGCATGTAGTTCTCGTAATGCATGCATGCATATAAAAGGTTATAGGCATGCATGTCCTAAGCAAACTTTAAAAGGATAAGACTATTTTATGTATATCTAATGTTATAATATTTCAATATCCAACAATGCCTTTATCTAATAATTAAAAATTTTAAAACAATTGGCAGTGGTCCTATAAAATTTCATATGGTATCAAAGCAAGGATGTCATGAGGTCAATTTTTCCAAGCCCCTATTTTTCTCTTCAATTACATGTTTCCATGATTTAGGCTAAGGCCATAGTCCAGCCTATGCGTGACGAATAGTGTTAGAATATTTAAATAATAAATTATGCCTTCATCTAATAGTTTAAATTTTTAGAACAGTTGACAGTGATCCCATATACCGACTTTTATGTTACATGTTTATCTGATATACCAATCTCGAGCTATAAATGTTCTTTGAATTTTACAGAAACTAGATGGGAAAAATGCAAGAATCGCGGACTACTTCGATGTTATTTCTGGAACAAGCACTGGCGGCCTCGTTACTGCCATGCTAGCCACTCCCAATGAAAACAACCGCCCTCTATTCGCCGCAAAAGACATCAAAGACTTCTACCTCAATCATTGCCCTAAAATCTTCCCCCAGGACAGGTAAAGAAAAAACATAAAGGAGTTTCTAATCTCTCTTCATGGTTTAATTATTTCTTAACTGATCGAAATTGATAAATGTCCCTAAAACTATACAGTTTCCCTTTCAAAGCGGTCACGAAGATAATCAAAGCCGTGGCGGGACCCAAATAGGCCCAATTCCCTAAAAAACCCTCAACTTTAGCCTTTATCCCAATTATATCTGTTGACACCTATTTTTAATTTGCCCAAAATTAATTGCACAAAATTTAGGAGTTAATTTTATTTAATTCCTAAAACAAAAATATTTCTATTTAAATGCATTGCATATAGAAATTAGGTACATTTGCACTAATAGAGTCTATTATAGAGTTTAATTTAAAAAAAAAAAAAAATTCGAGTCGGGCCGGGTCGGAGCTGGGCCGACCCGGCCCATTTCTTTTTTCCTTTTTTCCTTTTTTCCCCCCTGGCCCGGCCCAGCCTTCTTCCTTTTCTTCTTCTTTCCCCACGCCGCATTCTTGGGCCGGGCCCGGCCCGCCTTCTTCCTTCCTTCTTCTTCCCCCGCGCGGCGTCGCTCTCTCTCCCCGTTCTCCCCGTGCGCGACCGGGCGTGACGCACGGCGGCGTCGCTCCTCATCGTCGTCATCCGATCAGAGGAGGCCCAGGCGGGCACGCCACAGGGACTGGCCATTAAGGCCAGTCCCGTCTTCCCCATCTCCCAGGCTCTCTCTCCTCTCTGCCCCGTCTCTCTGCACCCTCCTCTGCACCGGCCCCCAACGCTCTGCTCGCACCGGCTCGCCATGGCCGCGAAAGTCGCGGGGCGGGTAGGCCGGTGCGGGCCATCGCCACGCCGACGCGCGGCCGGGCCCGGTCGTCGTCGTGGGCTATGAAAGACGAGAAGAGAGAGAGAGAGAGACGGGGGGCCATTTTTAGAAAAAATACAGAGAGAGCGTGAGAGCGTGAGCCGGGGAGAGACAGGAAGCCTCCGGCAGCCACCGCGCCTCAGCCATCCATCCCCGTCGCCGAGCCGACGGCGGCGACAGAGAGAGAGAGAGAGTGGGTCGGCGATTTTCAGAGAAAAACAGAGTGAGAGAGAGAAACCGAAAGAGACCGAGAGAGAATAGAGAGTGAAACAGAGAAGAGAGAGGAGGGAGCCGAGAGTCCGCCGGAGCTAAAGAAGAACCAGCGGCGGTCGTCGACGCCGCCTGGACCCGCCGGAAGCCGCCCGGACGCGCCGTCGACCGGTGAGCCCCCCCGGCCGCGAAGCTCCCCTTTTCCCCGATTTTTGGCTCGGTTTGGCCGGGACTCGCGCCGGCCGTTTCGCGCGAATCCCGGCCCATACCGTCGTCGGTCCCGACTCCTAGTCGCCGTCGGAGGTGAACCCAAGCCGCTGGAGTAGACCGGACCGCCGGAGGAGGTCGGAATCCCCCGTTTTTCCACGCGCCCGCCAGGCGTTCGACGAAATGTCTCAACCACGCCGGTTTTTGTTTCATCGCCGGCCGGCGAACGGTGGTCCAACGGCGGCTCAGGTGAGTGGCACAGCCAGAGGCGGTCCTGGTCGGGCGACTTGGGGGCGGCGCTGGCCTGGGTCAGCCGGCGGACGGCCAATTTTGGCCTCGCCGGCGCCCCCCTCCCCACGGGTCTGTTTGTTCGGGTCGGATTCGACCCGAATCAACAGATCCGACCCGGGTCAACGCCCGGGTCGGATCCGTTGACTCGGGTCGGTTCCGACCGACCCGGATTAACAGTTCCGACCCGGGTCAACGCCCGGGTCGGATCCGTTGACCCGGGTCGGTTCCAACCGACCCGGGTCAACGCCCGAGTCGGATCTGTTGACCCGGGTCGGATCCGACCCGACCCGGTTAATATTATATTATTATTTTATTTTATTTAAAAAATTTAAAATTTAAAATTTAAATTTTTTTTTAAAAAAAAATTATTTAAATTTTTTTTTATATGTTATATCTAAGTGTTTTAATTTATTGTATTATTATGCATGTTTTTTGTCTTGTTTGAATTAGACAAGCCTGAGGTTGCGCGGTAGTATTTTGCATGTTAGTTTTTATTATCGCTGTATTATTATGCATGTTTTTAATACAATTGCATGAGTGTTGTATTTTTGAATGTCATCTGACTTAGTTAAGGTTAGAACCTTAGACTGCATGAATTGTTGTGTTCTTGACTGTTAATCGTTTCTGATTATGCACTCGCTTGATCACTTCACATGTTAGGAGAAAGGTCCTAAAATCAATCCAAATTGCCTGACAAATGTTTTCAGAAATAAACAGGGTAAAATGGTACCGAAAGGGCATTAGTTATCCAACTAGTGTAACCAAGTCCCCGAACTCATTTAATCTCTGGTTCGTAGGAATATGGTGATTCTCCCATCACCCTATTTGGGTTTTTAATCGACCCACCCCAAATCGATTAGTGGCGACTCCTTGATATAAACCACTTGCATGTTAAATACTTAAACCCTAAGTCGCGATATGGTATGGGCTTGGGAGGGCCCGAGTTAAGTCCCGAACCTAGACTTAGCACGTACCAGGCGAGCCCCCCTTTTTTGCATATTGTTTAAAAGAGGGCTTGGGAGTTCGGTCGCGACAATATCCCAAACTTGTTTTTGTCTCATAAAAAACCCCAAACTTTCACTTTTGTCCCAAATCTATTCCATTAACTTTTCGTCCAATTTTTTAATATTATTTTTTATTTTTTCGAATTTTTTTATTTTTTCTTTTCTTTTCTTTTTCCTTTCCTTTCCTTTTTTTTTTGTTTCACCTTCAACCTCGGCCGGTCGCCGGTCCGGCGACAGCCGCAGCGGGCAGCGAGGTCGGCCCCGCCCGGCCGTTGGCGAGGCACGGCCTCGCCGGCGTTAGGCGAGGCCGACCTCGCCAATAGCCGCGGCGGGAGCCTCGCCCGACCACGCGAGGCTCGGCCCCGCCGGCAACCGGCGAGGCGAACCTCACCGTTCTTTGGGCGAGGCCGACCTCGCCGGTTGCCTCGCCGTGGTGGCGAGGCTCGGCCCCGCCGGCTATTGGCGAGGTCGGCCCCGCCGCATGGCGAGGTCGGCCTCGCCCAACGCCGGTGACAGCCGAGCCTCGCTAGCGGCCGGCGTGGCCGAGCCTCGCCCGGATCTAGCAAGGGCTCGGCCCCGCCGTGGCCGGCGAGGTCGGCCTTGCCCGGAACGACGAGGTTCGGCCTCGGCCGGCCTCGCCGTTCTTGGCGAGCCGACCTCGCCCGGTGCCGGCGGGCCGAGCCCTCGCTGACTGTCCTCGCCGTGGCTGGCTAGGGTCGGCCCCGCCGGCCGTTGGCGAGGCTCGGCGTCGCCGTTCTTGGGCGAGGCCGACCTCGCCGGTTGCCGGCGGGCCGACCCTCGCCGCCACGGCGAGGCTCGGCCCCGCCGGCTATTTGCGAGGTCGACCTCGCCCAACGCCGGCGAGGCCGAGCCCTCGCCAGATCCGGCGAGGCTCGGCCCCGCCGGCAACCGGCGAGGTCGGCTCGCCTAGCAACGCGAGGTTCGGCCTCTCCAATTCTTTGGCGGGGCCGGCACTCGCCGTGGCGGCGAGGCTCGGCCCCGCCGGCCATTGGCGAGGTCGGCCTCGCTCAACGCCGGCGAGAGCCGACCTCGGCGGCCCCCGCCTCTGGCCGGTCGCCGGACCGGCGACCGACCAGAGGTTAAAGGTGAAACAAAAAAAAAAAGGAAAAGGAAAGGAAAAAGAAAAGAAAAGAAAAATAAAAAAATTCGAAAAAATTAAAAATAATATTAAAAAATTGGACGAAAAGTTAATGGGGTAAATTTGGGACAAAAGTGAAAGTTTGGGGTTTTTTATGAGACAAAAAAAAGTTTGGGATATAATTGGGACAAAAGCTAAAGTTGAGGGTTTTTTAGGGAATTGGGCCACCCAAATACGATGGAAAATACCTTCACAAGCTCGTGAGGGAGAAGCTTGGGGACAAAAGATTGCACCAAACATTGACAAACGTCGTAATACCGACGTTCCACATCAAGAGCCTTCAGCCAACTATTTTCTCTAGCTACCAGGTCTTTCATCGCTTCACCATCTTCTTGAAATTCAAAAATATCTCTAGGGTTTTGAGGATATGTAGACAATGAACTCTTACAAGGATTATTAACATCATTATCGTCAATTTATCGCCAGGTGATGAAAGATCCGAGCGTAGATGCGTTGCTCTCAGATATATGCATTTCGACCTCGGCTGCACCAACTTATCTCCTGGCCTATAAGTTTGAAACCAAATGCCCCACAGGCAAAGTGAGAGAATTCAACCTCATTGATGATGGCGTAGCCGCAAATAATCCGGTACATAATTATATTGTCGTCCTTGTAATATGAAACCTCAAACCTGAATTTCCTTCCATGACATTGTTCTTAAACTTGATTGGATCAATCTATCATCTCCGTAGAGAGTACTTGAATATCGAGAATTTGTTTTTTTTAAATAATGCGGGGCAACAACTAAGTATATATATGATATTTCGATTGTGCAGACATTGGTTGCGATGGGCGAGGTGACCAAGACAATCATGGGAGGAAGTTCAGATTTCTTCCCTATAGAGCAAATGCATTACCGGAGGTTCTTGGTGATCTCACTCGGGACCGGTACTCGGAAGATTGAGGGGAAATACACGGCACGTGAAGCAGCCAAGTGGGGAGTGTTGGGTTGGTTGACCAGCGGTGGCTCCCCATTGATTGACGTCTTCAGTCAAGCCAGCGCGGACATGGTCGACCACCATCTCTCCGCCGTGTTTCAAGCCCTAGAACTCCACGACAATTATCTTAGGATACAGGTACATATGATAGTTTCAAATATTCACGTGAAAGATTCCAATACAAAATTATTTCCACATAATGTCACACACAGGGTTGTTTTACGCTGATCATTGCATTTTCGGGGCTTGATTTTTCAGGATGATAATTTGAGTGGTGTTTTATCATCCGTAGATGGGGCCACGAAAAAGAACCTAAATGACTTGATCAAAATTGGTGAGGCATTGTTGAAGAAGCCGGTCTCTAGGGTTAATTTGGAGACCGGGATGTGCGAGCCCACGTCTAATTTAGAGACCAACAAAGAGGCTTTGATAAGGTATATGCATTAGCAATCACAAAACGTTTAATTTCACGATGATATTATGATCTTTCACTTTTGGCAATTTTAGGTTGGTTTGACTAATGTAACTTTGTTTGATATATACTGTAGGTTTGCTAAACTACTCTCTCAAGAGAGACAGCGTTGCCATGCAAGGTCGCCTCGTGGATATGCCAATACACTGAAATGATTATAGTCGAGGATTAGTGATTTTCTTGCATATTTTTGCTAAATTTGTAATTTGAAGATTGGGACAAAGTATTTGACCTTTGTCTTTTCTTTTGGATTTTCCTTATTAATTTTTTATTCTTGAATAAACCCCTTGGGCCTAGGGCTAAGATAGACCTTTCGTTTTTTTCAATATTTCCTTGGGAGGCTAGGGCTAAGATATATTTTCTGCGGTACTTGTAAGCTTTTTATATGGAATAAAGTTCTCATTCTTGTCATGACTTCGTATTATAATTATTTTGATGCGTGAGAGTCACATCTTCCATCCTGTCGTATAGAAAATGGCAATACATTGACATGGGAAGAAGATGTGCTTTTAAGGTTTTACACATTATGCGGGCAACATGCGGCTATGATATATTGGTCTTCTAAACATAAGTCCAATAGCATGACCTAAAACTTAAGTCTTTTTCGAAATAATAAGAATCTAGTTAATATTTTTTTTCATCTTGTTTTGAACTTAGAAATAAAGAAGTCAATAATGACCCATAGACAAACGTACAACACAAGCAGGGGAGATTTTTCAAACGTTAAAAAAAATTTATATAAACTAAACTAATTTCCTTTCTAGCAAGAAATATATTAGATAGACTTGGTCATAACTGGCTAATGTCATGAATGGAGATGATTGAAGTGAAACCAACAAGCGGAGTACATGCCATTTTTTAGTGAAATAAACGCAACTTAATTCTTAAACTAACTATCTCAACTTTTGCTCAAATACCCGTGATTTGTTGGAACATGGTGTTAGAAAGAAAGCACATAAACGTCAAAATTTTAGGCTATTTTTAGGCTCCTTTTATTTCGCAAATAATTTGATTTTTCTGTAAAATGTTTTCTAAGAAGTCATTTTTCAGGAAGAAACAATGTTTTTCGATGTTCGGTTGAAATTTTGAAAATGAATAGGAAATTATTTTCCGTCATTCAGAAAAGAAAACCTACTTTATTTTCCCGAAGAAACATGCACTACAGGAGCTAGTGACTTGGACACGAGTAGCCAGGGAACTAGGCACCTAGATCCCGAGCCTGGCCTCTGTGGATTTGGACCCTACCTCGATGGACCCAGGCTTGGGCATCAGGGATCTAGGCACGGGCATCTATCCTAGATCCACAGAAGCCAGGCTTGAGACTTCGGTCCACTTGCCTGGCTTCCCAGAGCCTTGGCTCGAGTCCATCGAGGTCAAGCCCGGAACCCCGGTGCTGGAGCCCGGAACCCCGGTGCTGGTGCCCGAGTCCCTAGCTTAGCCTTTGTGAACCAGAGCCCCGAAGACACGAGCCTATGCATTAAGTTCCTCGGCCTGGCCTCTGTGCACTTGGGCAGGGACGTTGGGGTCCCAAGGCCATTCTCTATGGACCTGTATACAAGTGTGCCAATGTCCTAGGCCTGACCTTTTATGGACTCGGGCCTGAGCGTCGAAGAATCGCACATGGACATTGGGGTCTTGGGCCCGGCTTCTTTGCACTCGGGCTCAGCCTCGTGGACTCGGCCTCGGCTTATAGACGTGAGCCCTTTACTAAGGACCCAAGATTTGATATTGGGGTTTTTGTGCCTAAGCACAGAGTTTTTAATCTAAGTGCCGATATTTAGTCATATTTTGGAAAATGAATTATAAGTTTTTAATAAAGATTCATTTTCCTGAATTTTAGCATAGATTTGCGGTTGAATAGGAAAAGATTTTTCATTGACTCATTTTCCCGAGTGATCCAAATGTTGGAAAATAAAGAAAATTTTTTCTTGAAAAAGATTTTTCACAAAATAATTGGAGCCTAAATGACTATAAAAAAAATGGGTAAGGGAAGCCCCATTGAGATGGTCCCACTAAATTCCATGTACTTTTCATTGATGGTACAACAAAATGGTCGAAATTAATTTTGACCCATAATTTTGGGTTTTTGACCCTGTAGGTCTCCATCAATTTGACAAACATATTCTTCACAAAATTTAATGATAAAAATTGAATAAAAGCAGTCTTTCCGTGTAATTTTCATCCACAGATTCCATACCATTTTCCCTCACCATTCCTTTAAATCTTGAAAACTTTTTGGTGAGGACGAATTTTGGTCTAAAAATTATTTTTGTAATTGATGTAATATTATATGCAAAAAGCGATGATCAAAATCGATATTGATGTGGGTTTTGTTTGTCTGTAACAACCACATTCTCATGATTCTAAAATTGTTTATCAGGTTTTTTTATCACTTTGTTGGGGCAAAATGAAATAAAATCTCTAAGAAATTTGATGGTGACAAAATTTACCTTTTAGGTCAAAAGAGTTTAATATAATTTAAAAACTCTGACTATTCCAAAAATTTTAGAATTTTGACTTGGATCAAGAGTCCCCACAGCTCTACATGTGGGTCCGTCAATATTGATGAATGCGTTTGCCATTATACTCACAGTTCCCATGAGAACTTTTTTTTTTAATTGAGGAATAAGACAAGATTATTTCAAGTTTTTGTAGCAATATACAAGAAGGATTTTGCTTATGCCCAATATGATCTATGCAGATCTCTCTACACTTATTATAAAAATTCTCAGATATTGGACAATAATTTCTTCCTTCCAAAGAAAAAATGAAACCAAGGCTAATGATGGACCGATCGTAGATCTTAAAAGAACAACCACCGAAATCAGATCGGATCTATTTAAATTATTTTTAGGACTCTGCAAAAGATCAATTCGTGAAGTAAATGTTGCGGATTTCGTTAGGTTTTGGTGAACTAAAGTGATTGATTGTTACTTGGAATTGATCGCAGAAGATTTATTGCTTTTTGGTTGCCGAATTGGGCTTTGCAGATGGTGAAAGAGGAAAACTTGGTGGAGGATGTGGAGGAAAGCGAGATTTCTGATGCGACGTCGATCGAGGAGATTAGTGAGGAGAACTTCAACAAGCAAGAGGTGAAGGAGACAAAGGAGGTGTTGACTAAGGTTTGGACGATGCGGGATTTTCACAGGTATCAGGTTGAGAAGGGCCACAACGTCGCTCCGGCACGGGCGGTGCAGAAGAAGCTGTTAAGCGAGGTTGTTATGATGTAAGTTGATGCGACGGTGGTGCAAGGCGAGAATGAGAAGAAGGGCGAGCGGCGAAGGTAGCGGAGTAAGTCGTGATTGACGATAGTGGGGACAAAGGGGATGCTAAATTTGGTGACCGAGAGGAGGAAGGGGAGCTTGAGGAAGGTGAAATGGATTTGGACACGGAGGTGCTCGATAAGGTTGATGGAGAAGGTGGAGAGAGGCAAGTTTGAGTGCCGAGTCTGTGAGTAATGGCAGTTGTGAGATTGAATTGGGAGAGGAGGAAGTGGACCACCTATAGGTGGCAGTGCGAGAACTAACTCTTTCATTTGCGTTGCAGGTTTGCAAAAATACTCTCCGAGGAAAGAAGACTTCAAGAGTCTCGATCTCCGAACACCGACAAAAGATCACGACAATGAAGATGGCAATGCCTTTTTGTTACTTCTTCTATTCATTTAACTAACTGGTGACTCTTTGCAAAATGTTTTAATAAGCAAAGTGTTATCTAGGGAGGCATGGTCAGTTTCCTCGGATAAATTGATGAAGAGGCGCGAAAATCTAAACCAAATCAGCCAGCTCGGCAGCGGTACAAGCTTGAAACTCTGAGAAAGTCAGAGAGTTGGTAAAACAGCTGAGTTGACAGCCTTGGTGTGTGGGCAAGGACCGACCGCAAGCTGGTTCGTTCAGTAGGTAAGCTCTCTAAAGCAATCTCTTTTGGGACATAAAAAGTTGACAAGAGGCAGCTCGGAGAGTGCTCGAGGACCCCAAAAACAATTCAAAAAAACTAACTCAGCCCATAAATTTCAGACTGACCCTTTGAGAGAAAAGTGAAAATTTTCACAAACTTCCAGCCAAAACCTTCAACTAGAGAGTGAAAGTAAACTCACAGATCTTTCCAACCATATGTGGCATGTCCCTAACGGAGATCGGGAAGACCTCCTAATGCCCCTCGAAAAATACCCTTTTGGCGGACAAGGGAAAAAGTCCTGATATTTTTCTGAGGTGTTGGAGGGTTGGTTGCGAGTTGGGAAAAGAGTGAACTATTGAAAGAAATGAAAGAATGTTGAACCAAAAAAATTACTGGGGGTCAAAGTAGGAATGTTCTAGCTTAAGAATAGCTTGGTTTTGTCCCTTGATCAGTTCTAGATTCGTTCGAGTTAAGCCGAGAAGAGTGCACCAGAGTAAACCAACAATCTCAGAAAACCCAAAATTTTTTTGCTGGTGTTGAGCCCAGTTGGTCAAGCGAAAGTTTTTGAGAAAAATGAGGGACATCTGAGGAAAAAAGAGATTTGTGAGTTAAATTTGAGTAGATCTATTCAGTGTTGGTGCGAAAGGAGCAGACAAACGAGGTCCTACAGTCTGGTCTTGAAGACCAACAAAAACCTTCGTTGTTAGTTGTTTTGCTTTGCAGGTCCCATTTTCTAGCTCGAAGAACCCAACTTCCAGGCACATTCAAAAGACAATTTCTTCACTTCATCGGTCAAGAGCCACTTCACACAGAAACTAGGAAGCAAGGTAAGGACCCTATATATGTTTTTGCTCAATTTTGACAATGGTTTGACAGTGGAAAATCGAGAGAAAAACCAACCCAGAAAACTGATTTTTTAGGCTGGAATTTTTCCAAGTGGTGAACCAGTTCCAAGAGTCTTGCATGTTTGACTTGCTATGCCCCTTTTCATGCGTTACCTGTTTTCGTGAGCTTGATGAATGTTATATGGGAGTATAAATGATGCCTAGGTCAGCTCAGTGTGGTCTTTAAGTTCCTGTGTGAACCATGAGGCTGCTTAGAACTTGAGCCAAAAACTGAGTCGATCCATATTGGTTCTTGGCTGGTCTGTGAGGGCCATGCGAGTAGACTAATTGGTGAGGTCGTTTATATGTGTGTAGTTGATCATTCTCCAAGATGCTTGTTGAATTTGAAACTCCATGTTACATAATTTCGTTTGGATCGATTAGATGTTTGTGAAAGTCTCACATGTGGTAAGTATCAGGGCTTGAATCTGGGCATGCAACCTGTTTGCCTGACCTGGGTTCAAACCCAGATTTGGAAAATATGTTAGAACCGCAAATTTGAGGCTAATCTCAATCGTGGTAGTGTCTGTTTTAGGATGATATTTTTAGTTAATCTTGTTCTCTACATGTTTTAGTATAACCTTGATGCTTTAGCTCTGCTTAAGATTGTCTATAGGT